TTTGGCTCCAATCTGGACAACCCGACCTGGCTCAACCTTTTTTGGTTCCCAATTTTTTTCATTTATAATCATTCTTTCCATGTTCCACTCTTTTTTTCTCTCAGCACTCCCACTCCCCCAAAAATGAATAACAAAGCTTTTGGAAAAAAACATTTTTATTTTTTATTTTTTGCAAAATTTAAAACTTTGTTTTTTGTTTTTATTTTTTCATATTCATTTTCTGGGACCTATTCTGCACCACTTCACCAAGTCTTGTGACTCAAAGTTTGTGCTTTAAAGCTGTAGAATCCAAAATAGGCAGCCAAAAATAACGGTCCACCCACTGTACATATTCTATAATCCATAAACTAATTACATATGTATAAGAATCAGCTAGTAGAAGCGTGAGATGGATCAGGAATAAGCTATATAAACTTATCTGAAGCTTACCAATCATTGATCACATCATCAGGGCATCAGATTGCATCATAAACCTCTTGGATGGCGTCATCAGGAGCCTTTTGTGCTCTAATTCAAAGCTTGCATAATTCAAAGTAGCCTACATGGGAAAGGAGCCCAAATTCTACATGCAAGACTGGATTATGCATGCAGCACATGTATTTCTCATTATCACAAGCTTGAATAAGCAGAGTTACACGTATTCAACTACCTCTAAAATTGCACAGCCCTTGCACAGTAACTGCAGCTTTTTCAATTACGTGAGAAATAGCCCACAAAACTCAATTATGCATGTATGATCTCATGTCCTAGGACATTCCACGCATGCATAGCACTGAACAGCTACAGCTCCCATCCATACACAAAATTGTAGAGCTGCTAAGAAGCTCCCTAGTGCCCTGAGGGCCTCTCCTCTTCCCCTGAGCCCCCTGTAGAATATTTAAGGAGCCCTGATTCCTACCTTTTCCCCCAGGAAATTCTAGTAGCATCAAACCAACACTTGTACAGTGATTATTAGTTATTCAACCCACCAATAACATTACAATCCAGCTACCTTAGACCTAAATAGATTTACTTTGATCAGTTTCAAGGCATTTCTACTTATCTCTATTGCATAAAGAATTATCCCCCAGGTTAAACAATTCTGGTCCTCAAGTGTTGATACACTTATTAATCTGAATTGTTGTTAAAAGACTTATCCCAAGTGAGTTGAAGAAGTCCTCACCTTGGAAGCCTATTAATCCATGCAAGAGGATTGATCCGGATGCCCAATTGAATAATTGGATGAGTCAGCAGTAGAAGTACCATTCCTCACTGACTCCTCCCTGTTTCTTTTACAGGTTGAGGGATTTAACCACAAATAAATCTTCTTCATTACTCTTGTTTTTAACACTCAGAGCACAACCCTTACAGGTGAGTAGCATAGAGGCTGACACCTAGACTCAGTACAGGCTAGAATGGGCCTATGTGATCTGTGAAACATTTGATGTGAAACTCAACAAGGGGGGGGGGTTTACAATGGATTTCAATCATAAATTAACTAGCTTGGTGTGGAGCTGCTGAACAAACAGAAACAGATCTTTGAGGGAAAATAGACAACTACCCTACTAGTAATGTAAGTTGAAGCTATAAGTGCTGATGACGCTGCCCTCTAAAAATAATGCTGAGGAGAGAGGGTTACACTAAGAATTAGGAAAAAGTTGTGGCTAATTTATAACTGATTATTTTGTTTCTTGTCAGTCCCACAGGGGAAGAAGTGAGAATATGAGGGTTGTAAATAAAGCAGAGCTCTAAGCAACGCTGAAACAGATACAATAGAATACTTTATTGCCCAATATTTGGTATTGTATTGGTGTCCAGATACAAAGTATCTTTAATAAATATATTGTATCTGTTTTGAATGTATTGTATTGGCCAATACAAAACAATATTGTAAAAGTATTGCAGGTATCCAATTCTTTATGTGTTGATTTCTTTTTTTGTGTGTTGTTGATAGATACAGATGAATATGCATTGCATTTTTTTTCTTCTTCTTATTTTCCTTTCATGTTAGGTTTTCTTCTTGCTACTATTTTGTTTATCCCAAAAAGAGCTGTGTAGATGTGGTCTATAATCTCAACATTAACAAATTCAAGCCAACTTTCTTTTTTCTTTCTTTTTCTTCTTGAGAAGCCTCAAATTGACAAAAAGACAGAAACACAATACAACATAAAAACTCTTGAGCACAAATTCAGAGGAGGTGAGAGGGGGATGATCTGAGGAATAAGGTTCATATTTCAGTTTCAGGAAGACTGATTCCGATTGATGATGATGATGGTGGTGATGGTGGTGGTGGTTATTGGGGTTGCGGGGATGAGAAGGGATGGGATTTGAATCTGCCACTTGGATTGACCTGTTTTTTGGTTTTTTCAAAGACAGGGCAAATTCCTTCTGGCCTTGCCAATTTCTATTGCAAAGAGAATGATGATCAAGAAGAGGAGGGTTGGAAGCCGCATTGTCATGCCCACCCCTGCCTCCCTGCCGCTCAAGAAGTCATGATGATCAATCAAGAAAGACAAGAACACATTACACATGCGCATCAATCATCATCATTAGTA